TTAACCATTAGACCACTGGGGCTGGTCCTCTTGAGTTTATCAATGGAGAAATAAAGAATTGATGGTATGTCTGGATTCTTTTGCTTAATATAGCCTTGTAGAGTCTTACCCAAGATGATGTATCCATCAGTAGTTCATTCCTTTTTATTGCAGAGTAGTATTCCACTGCCTAGATATACCACAATTTTAAATTATCCATTCACCTGTTGATTGTCAATAGGTGGTGGTTTGCCATTTATTGTGAATAAAGCTGCTATCAACTGTCATAAACACGTCTGGTGGATATATGTCTTCATTTACCTTGAGAAAATATCTAAGGTGGAATTGCAGGTTTGTGTGGTAAGTGTGTGTTTAACTGTTGCTGCTTATGCCACTGTACATTCCTGCCAGCAATATGTGAGAGTTCCAGCTGCTCCCCTTCTTCACCAACATTTAGTGCCGTTAAAATCAATTGACGATTGGGGCTGGCCCCGTGGCCGAGTGGTTAAGCTCGCGCGCTCCGCTGCAGGCGGCCCAGTGTTTCGTTGGTTCGAATCCTGGGCGTGGACATGGCACTGCTCATCAAACCACGCTGAGGCAGCGTCCCACATGCCACAACTAGAAGAACCCACAATGAAGAATATACAGCTGTGTACCGGGGGGCTTTGGGGAGAAAAAGGAAATAATAAAATCTTTAAAAAAAAAAAAAAACAGACATGATGGAAATTTAAAAAAAAAAAAAATCAATTGACGATGTACAATTGGGTCTGCGTCTGAATCCTTTATTCTATTTTATTGCTCTATATGTCCCTTGATCTATATGATACTGTGTCAATAACATGCTGTCTTGATTCCTGTAGCTCTTAATAAGTCTTTAAATAAGGTATTGTGAGTCCCCCACTTTGTACTTGTTTCTCAAAATTGTTTTGGCTATTTTAGGTCCTTCATATTTGCAAATAAATCTTAGAGTCAACTTTTCAATGTCCAGGAAAACAAAGCCTCCTGAGATTTTGACTGAAATTGTATTGAATCTATAGACTAATTTGGAGAGAACTGGCATTCTAACAAAACTGAGTCTTCTGATTCATGAGAATAGAATATTTCTTCATCTGTTTATGTCTTCTTTAATTTGTCTCAGCAATGTTTTATAGTTTTACATGTATAGGTCTTGAACATGGTTTGTTCATTATATTTCTTTTTTGTCATGTTTTTGGACCTTATTGTAAATAATGTTATTTTGTCCATTTCCAAGCTTCATTGCTAGTGTATAGCAATGCAATTGATTTTTGTATATTGAACTTTTATCCAGTGACCTTGATAATCACTCATTAGTGCTAGCTTTTTTGTGGGCTTCTTAAGATTTTCTAGCTATAGGATTATGTCATCTGTGAGTAAATTATTTTATTTCTTTATTTTCTAATGGTATGCTTTTAATTTCATTTTCCTGATTTATTACATTGGCTAGAACTTCCAGAACAATGTTGAATAGACGTGGTAAGAACAGAAATCCTTGCTTTGTTCTCCATGTTATAGGGAAATTGTTGAAACTTTCATCATAAAGTTTCACGTTAGCACTAGGTTTTTTGTTAGATGCTGTTTGTCAGTTTGAGGAAAATCTCTTTCATTTCTAATTTGCTCAGAGTTTTTAATCAGTGGATGTTGATTTTTGTCAAATGCCTTTTCTCCTCCTATTGAAATGATTATGTGGTTTTTCTCTTTGTCAACATCGTGAATTATGTTGATTAATCTCCTAATGTTAAACCAATCTTTTACTTCTGAAACAAAATCATCACTTTTTATGGTATATTATTCTATTTAGATATTGCTGCATTTGATTTTCTAATATTTTGTTAAGGACTTTTGTATCAGTATTCATGAGTAATATTTGTTTTTAGACTTATTTTCTGGTGATGTCTTGGTTTCAAGATAATTCTAGCCTTATAAGATGAATTGGGCAGTATTCTCTTCTCCTCAATTTTCTAGAAGATTTTGTGTAGGACTGGTATTATTTCATCCTTAAATATTTGATAGATTATACAAGTAAAGCCATCTGAACCTGTAATTTTCTGTATGGTAAGGTTTTTAATTATGAATTCAATTTATTTAACATACTTAGATATATTCAACTGTTTGAATTCCTTTTGAGCCAGTTTTGGTAATTTTATCTCTGAAAAGATTTTCCCTTTCATCAGGTTTTTCAACTGATTTCTCTTTAAGATATCTTATTTTTGTTCTCTTCAATTTAAATTAAAATAAAATTTTGATTATACTGTTAGTTCGTAGTGGATCAGAAAATCAAGAGGTCTCCTATAATACAGTCTTAGTGGTTATGCAAATCAATCCAAAATCTTTGGAGTATAAGTTGATATCAAAAAAAGCAATAGCTTCAACATATGTACCTTTTAACCTAGAAATTACAGCTCTAGAGATTTATTCCAGAAACATAAACACATAATGACCTATAAAAGTCTGAGACTATTTCTAGCATCATTTTTCACAATAAAAATTAAAAGAACAACAAAAATGGATAAATACAGGACAAGCTAATAAAGAACAGGACATCCATGTAATGGAATCTATGCAAGAAAAAAGAAGTGGAGCAACATGTATTGATACAGGAAGGTCGTTTATATATTGTTAAATGAGAGATAAAAGGTCATAAATGAGATTTTCACAGCATTTTCTTTAAAAAAATATGCAGATACATGCTTAGGAAATTCCTCTAAGATTATACGGCAGTCTGGTTGGGTTTGGGCAATTTGAGGAATTGGAAGGAAGTTTAATCCCAATTTATATCCTTCTGCACCAACTGACATTCTTAGATTTAACAGGTATACGTAAAATGAAATCCAAAATCCAGATGAATGTTTTGTAACTCTCACATTTCCTGTCTCACTCCAGCACCAAGCAGATTTCCAATTTACATTTTGTCAGTTGTTCCAGGTTGTAAATTTAACTGCCTACATTAGGCTGTCCTTATGCTCTCCCTACTTTGAAGTGCCCAGCTGGTAATAAATGACATGTCATACATAAAAGGCCAAAAGAATCTTGCTTGAATGCATTCAGATGCACATGTGTTCAGAAGAGAGGAAACCTGAGACAATACCAGAGAGTGGAGTCGCATGTAGGTGTTGAACTTTTCCATCGTGTTCTGGAGAGTCCACAGATTAGGAGCAAGAGCCTCTGTAAGATGAGTGATGGAGAAATCAGGTGTTGTAGAGGATTTTTGATGAAGTTAGGGCTTTGACTCAGACCGACAGCAGGCTTTTTTGGATATCGTGCATGTTTTAGAGGTCAATTGTGGTGTCTCCATTGGGGGGATGGGGGCTAATTTTGTCTCCAAATGGCTAGGAGAATCCTGTTCAGAGCCTGGGATAAAGGGGAAAAGGAATTATCTGCTTAGAATTTGAGACATCTTCTGGAAAGATAGGCTTGGGGCCTTTGGAGAAGGTAGCTTTGTTACTGAGAAGCCTCTGATTGGTGAGATTTCAAGTTTTCCCGTTAAACAAAATCTTTAAAAAATTCTGAAACTTAATTGGCCCCAAATGAGAATGTCTAAAAGTTTGTTCTGCTCTCCCCAAACTGATTGTTTAGGGAAACCGTGAGCCTGGGCTAATTAAGAACAGGTACTTGAGTAACTGAGTCCCGTTGGAAAGGAGGGAAGCAAGAAAACACCTAACGTCCAAGAATGAGCCAGTCTTTCCTGTTTTGGGTCATAGTGTTGGAAGAAGGGCTGTGAAGGAAGGAGTTTATTTAGACAATATCACTCAGCACATCCTGCCCACCATGAAGTGGGTGGGGAAACTGAGCTGCCCAGCAGTGTGTTGATGGGGTTACTTAGGGTTCAAAGGGTAATGTGTGAGGATGACTTCCTGCCTCGTGAGGAGAGGCAAGACCATCATGTATGACTGAGTTGTTGGCACTGCATATGGTCGGGAGCTGAGGTGGTGAAGAGGGTCTTAAATCAAGCCCATGCTCTGCCAGCCAAGCAGTGAGACTGTTGCGACTGCATTGGCTGGAGAGCGTTGAAGGCTGACACAAAGTTACCTCCACTTTCCAAGCTCACTTCAGGACGTCTCTTCTCACTCGAGGAATATCATTTTTCTAATTCACTATCCCAGACAGCATGTTTTTTTTTCAATTTGCACAAAAGCTTTGTATGGCCTTAGTTGTTCCTGGGCTGGTGGAGGCAAATTAGGAGGACGGAGAAGAGAGCCTCACTGCCATCCTCTACAGTTTCTTTGGTCCTTCTACCTGTCATCACCCAGTGACCAATGTCCAAACTGCGTCCCTGAATGCTCTAGGATATCAGAGGAGAAGGAGAGTTCCAGGTTAAGGGGCAATGAAGGGGCATTAAACATCTCTTGTACCGAAGCCCAGGTTTTCTGTTTGGACTTTGATTCCAAATGAAGGAAGGTTACTATTATATAAGTCTACTTGGGCTGCCATCACAGTACCCCATAGACCGGATGGTTTAAACAACAGAAATTTATTTCTGACAGTTCTAGAGGCTGAGAAGTCCAAAAGAAAGCTTGTGACTAGTCAATGAGGGCTCTCTTCGTGACTTCTAGACAGCCATCTCCTCTCTATGTCATCACGTGGCCTTTCCTCACTTCGTGTGTGTGGAGACAGAGAGAGAGAGAGAAAGGGAGAGAGAGAGAGATAGCGAGCTCTGGTGCCTCTTCTTATAAGGATACTAATCTTATCTAATCAGGATCAAACCTCACTTTTAACCCTAATTACTTCCTTAAAGGCCCCATCTCCAAATATAGCCACACTGGGAACTAGGTCATCGACATGTGAATTTTGAGGGGACACATTCAGTGCATGACACCATCACTTTGCCCCTGCCAGGCAAGCCAAGTTTATTCTCAACCAGAGAGCCTACTCCGTCCTCACCCTGGAGGCTGGGACACAGCTCTGTCTGTCACTGGGGACTCTAATTTCCCAAGCTGCAGGTGTCTCCTCTAGAAAACTGGAATAAGATGCCTCACACCCTCCCCCCAATACTATATACACACCATGAAACCTCAGTAGCTTCTTCCTCTATTTTTTCTCTCTGCTCCTCACAGCTGAGCACAAACATAATCAATACAGATACCTAAAAAAGAAATACCAGTTAAAGACCTTTATTTGAACTCCTTATTCACATATAATTACCACACTAGAAAGTAAGCCTTATGTATACTTTAAGAGATGTCAGATTGAATGTGTTGCAATTTTTACTTAATTTAAACATTGACCTCTGTTAACATTTATTCTGTATTCTTAGTTATATACTCGTAATAAAAACAAAAACCAAACTAGAGAGAAGGTTATTTCCAACCAAGAAAATTTTTAATAGCCTCTCTTCTGGAAAAGCTCCTTGGTGAAAGTTAAATGTTTACCCAGATAGTATCTGTAACCTATCTCTGACAAGACAGTCATTTTTTCTGTATAATTTTCTATAGGTATTACTCTATATCCATACTTAATGATGTATAGATATGGGTGTATATGATACAAATTAAAATATTAAATTTTCCCTGTTGTCCTAATGTTCCTTATTAGGAGATAAGGAATAAGAAATGAGTCATATGTAATTAAAACTTCTATACCTTCTGGATAGCCACCACAAACATTTGTTTTCTTTATGCCTAATTGAAATATCTTTCATGTTTTATTAATATTGATAATAATTCTCAAAACTGAACAGAACTATAATTTGACTCAGGTTCATCTGACTCCAAAGTTTGCTCTTAATCTTTGTTATTTTGTTCCGTGAACATTAGCACATTTTTTTCGGTAAAGACATTGAATATAACTCTTATGTTATCTAACTAATTTTTATATCTTAGATACTTACTGACTGTAAGAAACTTTGATAACGCTTTGTAACCATGTAGAGGGAAGGGAACAAGTATTTATTGTAGGTACTTAGTAGTACTTAGTAATTTCTATATATTTTTATTCAATCCTGGCAATAAGCTGAGGTAAGTAGCATTATGTTCATTTAACAGACGAGAAAGTAGGTTAAATAATTTGTCAAAATTTACTTTGCCAGCAACCATAGTGTATCCATCAGATTAGAAAACAGTGAAATGCTAGGAATACTAAGTCTTGATGTGAATGCTGGAGAATAAGAGCTTTCATCTATTTCTGATGGGAATATAAAATATTATGGCCCAAATAATTAGATTGTAGAAAAATTAGTAAACATGAACCGCAAGATATTCTATGGCCTGTTTTCAAGCTTGCTAATCCTTTCTTCTGTGTTGAGTCTACCGATGAGCCCATGAAAGGAATTCTTCACGCTTCACACAAGATCTTTTTATTTGTAACATTTTCATTTGATTCTCTCTTACAGTTTTTAATCTCTCTGTTGAAATTCTTCCTTGTTTATGCATGTCGTCTACCTTTTCCATTGCATCACTTAATATATTAACCATATTATTATGATTATATTATATGATTATATTATAATATAATCTCATATATGGTTATTATATGATTATAATATTAATCATATTACTTTTGCATTAGGTGAATATTTTCTAGTATAACATTTTGAAACTTTTATTGATTTTTCCACTTTTTTAAGTAATTTGTTTTAGTGGATGCTCTAGGGCTTACCATATGCATCCTAACTCAGAATTGACTTCAGATTTATACCAACGATGCCAGTTAGATATTAATCCTGCATAGCTCTATTCATTTATTCCCTTTTGTGCTATTATTATACATATTATACATATGACATCAATATAGTTATAATTATTGTTACAATTTTTGTTACAATTATTACTTTATAATTTTTAAAGAAGCTGGGAGAAGAAAGGAGAGCAAGTGTATATTTATAGCATTTCTTATATTAACCTTATTTACCCTTTCTTGTTCTCTTCATTCGTTTCTCAGATTCCAGTTGCCACTTGGTGTCACTTCGTACTCCAATGTGTACCTACCCACATCATTTGTGCTATTATTAGCAGACATATTACACATACGTTATCCACTCAACAGTTCAATTATATACTTACTGTTTTATACAGTTGTTTTTTAAATCAGTTAATGGAAGGCAGGAGAATAAATATGCATTTATACTGTCTTTTATAATTACAGAATTACCTTTGTAAATTACCTTTGCAATTCTGTACAATCATTAACACTTTGTGTGTGTGTGTGCACGTGTGGATGCTAATTACTGTCTGGAATCACTTGCTTCCAGTAAGAAGAACTTCCTTTAGTATTTCTTGTAAGGAGGATCTACTAGCAGCAAATTACCTGTTTTAGTTTACCTGGGAATGTCTTTCTTTTGCCGTGATTTTTGAACTTTAGTTCTTCTGGATATGTAATTCTTGATTGATCATGTTTTTTCTTTCATTATCTTGAAGATATCATCCCACTGTCTTCTAGTCTTAATTGTTTCCATGAGACATCAGCTGCTCATTTATTAACATCCCCTTGTACATGAGAAGTCGTTTTTCTCCTGCTGCTTTAAAGATCTTTTCTTTGTCTTTCACCAATTTCAATATTTACTATTTGCTGTGTGTTTGTGTGTGGATCTGCATTTGTACTCCTTGGAATTTATTGACCTTCTTAGTGTAAATTAATGTTTTTCATCAAATTTGGAAAGTTTTCAACCATCACTTCTTTGAATATTTTTTATGCTCCTTTGTATCTCTCCTATTCTTCTGGTGTTCCTGTTACATGTATGTTGCTGCATTAACGGAGTCTCATATTTCTCTGAGGCCCTGTTCATTTTTCTTTGTTGATTTTTCTCTCTCTGTTCTTTGGACTGTGTAATTCCTATTGATCTATCTTCAAGTTTACTAATTCATTCTTCTCTCAATTAAAAATCAACTGTTGAGCTCCTCTACTGAATTTTTATTTTACTCATTATACTTTCAACTCTGGAATTTCCATTTGTTCCTTCTTATAATTTTGATCTCTGTTGACGTTCTTGATGTGGAGAAACATTGTCATCATACCTTTCTTTACTTCTTTAATCATTGTTTCCTTTGGTTCTTTGCACATATTTACAGTGGCTACTTTGAAGTCCACGGCTGTTAAATGTGAAGTCTGCTCCCTCTCACAGGCAGTTTCTGTTGTGTGCTTGTCCTCTTTTGCATAGGTCATACTTTCTTGTTCCTTTTCATGTCTTGCAATTTTTCATTGAAAAGTTGACATTTTAGATGTTATATGGTAACACTCTGATACTGGTACTTCATCCCAAGGGCTTGTTATTGTAGTTTGCTTGCTGATTTGCTTAGTGGACTGTTTTGGTGAAGTCAATTTTTGTTGGACTGGACTATCTTAGTGAAGCCAATTTCCCTGTCAGTGTTCACCTCTGGTGTCACTCCTCAGAGGCCACGGTCTTAGTACACATTCACCCTAAAGTGGCAGTGGTTTTAACAGGGCTCTCTTTGATTGTCTCTTTCCCTGATCACACTCAGTGGTTAGGCTCCACTGATTGCTGGATTATTGTTCTATTGTTTTTGACAATGTTCTGGGGCATAAATTGCTCACTTCCTGATCCAATTAAGTTTGCCTTTACAGAGGTAGTTTTTGAGGTCAGAGTTTGAGTGTTATTCTGACCCCAGGAAGGCATTTCCTAGCTCTCTCTTTCTCTGGTTCACTATGTTAAACTAGCTGGCCTATGGTTTGCCTTGTATCCCTCATGAAATTACCAGCCTCCTCCTTTGCTTACCACCAAAACCTCCGTTGATTTTCAGAGTGCCCTTAGGCTGGAACTTCCTCACATTCTGTTTCGAATAAATCAGCTCCTTCAGAGTTGGCTCTCCCATGAGCAAATTATCTGAGCCATCACCCTGGAGCCAGGGGTGGGGACAGTGGTGCAGTTCTCTTTCAGTGATACCCTTGCTTTAGTTGCCAGGTGCTGGACAGTAGCAGTAGCCTTTGAACTTCTGGGCTTACCTCTCCTGGTGTGGAACCTCTACCCTGTGAGTGAGCTTGAGGGGGGATGGGTTATTGGGGTCCTAGTATTCTCATTGTGCTGCTCCTAAGGTGGAGCCTCTGCTCTATGAATGAAAACTAAGTAGAAGTACGAAGTCCCAGACCCCTTGTCTGTACTCTCTTGGAAATTATCTTCTGCAATATATAGTTGCAGGGGAGGAAGGAAGAGAAATGCTGACAACCTCCCCCATTTGGGAAGATATCATAGCACTTAACTTAGAGATCAGTGGAAAGGAAGCTCATTCTTGGCTATACCTGCCTGGAGTTGAGTTTCCATCACACTGAGCTGAGAGTGGGTCATGATTCAAGTGCCACACACTCTTGCTGTTCTTATCAAATTTTAGTAGATTTTTCTTGAATAAATCTCTCTTCATTTGCTAAATGCCTTTAATATGATTTCCAGACTGTAAGTGTTTTTGTTTTGTTTTTTGGGGGTTTTTGGTGAGGAAGATTGGCCCTGAGCTAACATCTGTTCCCAATTTTCCTCTTTTTGTTTTCTCCCCAAAGCCCCAGTACCTAGTTGTATATCCTAGTTATAGGTCATTCTAGTTCTTCTATGTGGGATGCTGCTACAGCATGGTTTGATGAACAGTGTGTAGGTCTGTGCCCAAGATCTGAACTGGTGAACCGTGGGCAGCCGAAGCAGACCACTCAAACTTAACCACTTGGCCATGGGGCTGGCACCGTATAAACACTTTTTAAAATTATTACTTCCACAAATTATGCTTGTTTAACTAGCCAGCCAGTCTGCAGAACTCCCCTATCAATCATAATTGTTCCAAAGTCCTTCACTGATAGTTCTAATACGAGGATCTGCTCTGGGTTTAGGTCCATTGCTTTTTCTCTTGAAAATGGGTTGTTTTTCCTGTTTTGTGTGTGGATGTCTCATAAGTTGTAAATTAAATGCTGTACATTGCATGTAGAACAGTTGAGTTTAGGTAAATAGTATTTATGCCTGGAAATGGAAAAACCTCTTCTTTGGTCCAGTTGTAAATTTGAGGGGTTCATTCAATCTGATGAAGAAGTTGGGCTAGATTGGGGTTATTTTGTTGCGTTTATTGAACTGTATGCTTCACATTTCTTTGGTGGTGGGCTGCTGTTATCTGGGCCTTAGAGTTTCTAGACTGGTACACACATTGTCGGATTTAA